ATTTTTCTCCTCAACTTCTAGTAACAAACCAGTGAGCCCCAACTACTTTGTCACATTTCTGAATAAACCTTTGCCACACAGCTGCAGCTGGTCTAGGCATGGAGCAGCACCAGCACTTTACCAAAAGTTAGTGCTTGCTCTTCTAGGGCAGCCCTTGCATGGCATTTAACCTGGCCTGACTTCCACACTCCTCTCGGAGGTTGGAGTAGTTGCTTCAAGCAGCAATTCCTTTGAAAATGCAAGAGGTAATTAGTTCCAGTGCATTAAATAATGTGTTTGTTAATTATTAAGCGCGTATAACATCTAGCTGCATACAGGTGTGTGATGTTGGCTCCTAAGCCTGCCCCCTTACCACATGCAGTGCGGTGCTCACCTCCTGGTACTGGCTTGTTTTGTACAGGCTGCTATTTTTTAAGACAGACACAACTAAAGCGCTCCAAGATTCAGTTCCCGTTATCATAAAGCAGGAAAGCTGGATTTAGCAGCTTCAGTTACTTAAAACCTAGTCCTTTCCTTACGGAAAGCGAGCTGTATTCATTCCCGTCCTGTGCACTGTTTTAACTGAATACATACAGCCTGTCTTAATGATATGAAACCCTAGCACATACTATGAAGTAGTCTGTTGCAACTTCTGTTAATGGATTAAAGCATTTAAAACAAATCATTAGTACACCAGTTTTGTGATGTAAACAGTTTAATGAATACATAAAGCACATAGAAAGCAAAAGATTAAAACAAAATTATTGTTACAACCACCATAAACTATATAATTTTTTTTTCACAAGCATATCGCTTGCACAACAGGTTTTACAGAACAGTCTATCACGAGCAATACCACTCCCTGAAAACTAAGACTTGGAACCGAAAATCACAGTAAGTATTTACTTAAATCACATCACGTACTAGTCGGACTAGCATTGATTTAACTGCTTCCCAAAGTCTTTGTGGTGCTGTAGTATAGGTTAAAGCTCGCACAAGAAATGTGAACAGAGTTCAAGTGCAAAAAGAAAAAAGATGCCAGGGCATTCATTCTAGGAGTTGTGTCAGTTGTCATTTAAAACCATGGCTCCTAAACTTGTTGCCTGTGCACGTTTATTGCAACCCTTTTTGCAGATCCCCATTACAGCGACTGCTTAACTCTGGGCCGGGTTTGGAACTGCTCTTTCAGAAATGCTGGTCCTAAACCCTGGTTCTGCTCAACGTGAGAAGAACTCGAGCCCAGTGCTCCTCAGACCTCGTATCTGCCTGTAGGAAGGGGAAGCCCCGCGTCTGCCTTCCCTATCCCTTGCACCCAAACGCATGTATGTTTGGAAGGAAACACAGGAGCAAGGCTTCAACCAGGCAACAGGAGAACCTTACCAGATCGCGCACGAAACTGAAGCAAAATGTAAAAGAAAAATTCAGCTAATCCTTTACTAAGTAAGTCTGGCCTCAGTCTGCTGTTGGCTGTCATTCACAATATTTTGGTCTGTTGCATGTGTGTCACAAACATAGTTTAAAGTTTAGTACATTATATGCATAATGTTAAACCAGGACAGAAAAGTTCTTGTTTCAAAATGAAAACCAAAAACCAACCACCAAAACCCACAAACAGAAGAATTACAAAAGCATAAACACCTGCGTAAAAGGAACAAAACAGCACTCAGTACATATTGAATACAGGCCACTGTCCAGGAGGCACAAGAAAGATTTGATCGTTTTAATAAACTTGCTTTACAAATGTTTCATAAATATTCTATGAAGATTGGAAAGGAAGGAATTTATAGTTACACTACTGTCTCACATGCTTTTTAAAGTGTCTGCACCACAGTTTCTTTCTGTCACCCTTTTAAAACCTTCTTTAACGCAATACAGTTTAGGCTGCGCACAGCAATGGTTTTGCTTGGAACATTCTACCTTAGAAGAAATTCTTTAAAGTACAAAATTGAAGTTCATTTTGATTGAGTTTCAGATATCCAAAATCTTGATGGGGCAGGGGGAACAATGGCAAGGGCATTTGCCACCCCTTAGAGGAGAAGGAGTATTTCTGTACATTCCACTATCTCTATTTTTGTTTACTCCCCTGCACTCTTAATTTAACTTCAGAATTCCAGGGGAAGGGAGAACCTGTTCTAGGGGAGAAAAGAAGACCACGAAACAATCCCTGCTTTGTCCCTACCCCACCTTTCCACAGACAATAGTGAACATTATTCATTAATGTACTTTTCAGCTACGGCTGCAAGATGAAAATGCCTCCACAAAGAATTTATAATGTGTTTTGCTTGAATGTCAGCCCTGAATCTGTACAAAGAGCGAGTGTTGTCTTTGCATTCCAGTGCTTGCTGGTGTGGGTAGTTGAGCTACATGGTCCCACTGGGGCACGGGCTGGCTGAAAAGGGAAGATTGCAAGAAAGGCAGCCGCTGAATCGCTTTGAGATGCTGCAAAAATTCATCAGAGGCAAGTGCAAGCAAACAAACAGGGCAGCCCCAGGAACTTTGCAGTTCCAAGCCTTTGAAATTCATCCTTTAAAGGTGCTCTTCACTGTATCTTATTTAGCAAAGACCTCTTTGCTTGGTGGAGCCTGGAAAACTGCCAAGGGACTTGATTCATATTCCAGCTCTTCCACGAACACCTTCATCATCCGTCACTGCCCTGACACTCCACAGAGTTCAGCAAGTGACAACTACTCAGGTGGTAAGCACAAAGATAACAGTTAGCCACCGAGGTTTCCTCTGTACACACACGTATAAATAAATGACACCACAAGCCTTCCTTGATACAAGAAACGAAAAGGCATTGATTCAAAGGCTTAAACAGTTGAAACAAGCGCCCGTGCCACTTGCTCGATATTTTCCGCCCTGAAACCCTCCTACGGTAGAGCTTCCTCGGACATGTTTTCATGCACTGATATTATCATTGTGTGAAACAGTGCTAGAGAGGCTTTGGCACAGGAAGTCCTAACGTGACTGAATTTTGCCACAATAATAAAATTTCTCGTGCTTCCAGCTGAGATCTGCAAGTCAGGACTCTAACATTGTATGTAGTTGTTATCAAAGAAAAAAAAAAATTACTTCTGCTAAGTAGAAAAATGTTACTTGTCCATGATTCAGTACTGGTTTGCAGACATTTAAGTGCTTCAAAATAGCAGTTTAATGTATAGCAACAGAGATAAGGCAGACAATACTCTGTCCTCTCATACATAATTATGTAGAGAGCTGTAGAGAATTATAGCAATCGTGTTCACACCAAAGGATAAAATACAGAATCTGTACAACTCGCAGCCATTTTTTTAGTCCTCACTACTGAAAAGTGAGTTGGTTGGTTTGTTTTATTGCTAAGCAAGAACGTACATACCTCTGTATAATCTGTATGCGGAATCTAAGGTTGTGGTATTGTTTCCCTGGTGTACAAAGCGCATTTCATATGCTATTTTTTTATCGAGTAACACAGTACATGAATAAAACAGCAAGAGTTGAGCTAGCCAACCCGGTGCCAGAAAGTAGCAGTGTTGGGAACAGGCTCTGATATTTGCAATAAGAGAAGTGGTTTTCTTCATTCTCACAGCAACCGCTTGTTGTGTGTATGAACGCTACATACCTACAGAAATGACTGCGTAGTTGCTAAATCTCTGTCGTAAGCATTATATTCCCCAGTTTGTAAATGTGAGAAACAAAAAGACCAAAACACACAGCGTGCTTAGTACTGGCTACCAACTGTGAGAAACCTCTGGGTTTAAGTTTCTAGAGTGCTTTTTCATCCAGTGGTCTAAACATTACAACCACCCTTCAGGGAAGGGCTTCCACACTGTGCTTCCAGGTGCGGAGCTGTGAAGTGCACTGACAGCCCGGAGCTCTCAGATAATCACAAATCAGTTTTAAACCACCAGGTAGTACGTATCGTGTCCCAGTCCAACACCCTGAGATAGCCAACGTGGGAAAGCTGCTCGTGCTAACCCATCCTGGCAAGCATCGCAGGTTAGAACTGTTCAACAGGCAGCAAAGGTTGTTGAAAAATTTGGGCCCAACCACCAACTGCATTGCTTTTTGCAGCACGCAACTTGAGCAACTGCATCAAATGGCATATTCAGCTAAAACAAAGGTTTTACAGCCCTACAGTAGTTCCATTCAGATGCCCATGCAGTGTGTGAACACACAGACACAGGACTCCACTTATCATTCACGTGGCAAAGGGTACAGTGAAAAAAAAAAAAAAAAAGTCTTAAAACTTTGCCGCTGGAACAACAGTGAACTAACAACTAACGTGCCGTCTGCTTAACTTATCAGAGGAGGTGGGCTACTCCTGGAAAAGGAAAGAATTCAAGTAATATACTTTCAGCAATACCTTGCTTTTCAATTCATAATGAAGAAATGGTTTGTTCCACAATTTCTAATATGAAATGCTTGCAATATAAATCTCCACTTCTTGCCAGAATAAAGCAGCTGGACTAATTTTGTGCACCTGGGATTCAGGATAATATCTGTCAAGCCATCTCCTCAGCAATGCTATCAACTGACCTTAAAATATGCAGGCTGAGAACGTGGCCACAGTTCTTTTTCTAACATCTATTTCCAAGTCTGTCCCTCAGTTAGAGCCAAACTACGCAGAGATTGTCTCGCATTTATTTGGTGCCCTCGTCCAGCTCTGTTTTGCAAATATTTAAGCATACCACACGCAAGCAGACTGAAGTTTCTCTAAATGGCACAGCACACAGACGCATACAATGCACTACATTAAATGTTCACAAAAACTCCTCTCGGTAATGTTTCTAGAGCCACCTGGATTTCTAGTGCTACTTGTTACTACCCAGAATAGTTCCTCTTGTTTCCCAGATCTATGCCTTTTTTTGGTTGTTGTTTTAGTTTAAAGCCAAGCATTAAATTACACATCTGCAAGTACCGTCTTGCTGGCTAAATCAACTCTTGCATTATAGCAGTTACACCTTCCTTTTAGTCCCACCCTTCCTGTTTAATTGTACTTTATTTTGCCGTAGCCGTGCAGTTCTCTATTCCTCAGAGCTCACCTTGCCCGAGCCCCGCCGGGGAACGTGTCTTTCACCTCCAAAGAATCTGCCCAGCGAGTCAAGTAGACCCGAGTCTCTGTGCCGTGGAGATCCATGTCTAGCATGGTCTGTAGTGCTCGCAGATGCCATTTTTGATCCGTGCCGGAAAGAGGAGCGTTTTTGTGAAGCCATCAAATCCGAATTCTCTGAAGCTGCTGCACTGTCCTCTTGGATGGTCTGTAGCTCGTCTGACTCTGAGGGCCGATCTTTGAAGGTGTTGTCTTCTCTTCCTGGGGCATCTCGGGAAAAGAGGCGGATCAAGTGGGGGCGACCAGTCGTGTCAGCTGGGTTGGCCTCGGGCCAGGCATTCTTCGGGTCTGCTGTGCCTTTGGAGTCTGTCACCGCTGGGCTCTTCGTGGAGGTCCCATTGTTCTGGTTCACATCTGCCTCTCCTGCAAACAACAAGGATGAGATATGAATACAGGCCTGTGAAAAACAGCCCTGGAACAATGCTGCTTTCTTTCCCTTGCCTTGAGATGCTCATTTCATACAAAACCCGTAATATGTGCAGTTGTAATGAAACTACGTTCTCTACCAGCCTTTAAGAACATTAAGCTATCTTGGAACCGAAACCAGGATGACGTTCTCACACAAAATTTGCAGTAGTTCTAGGTGTTGTTTTTTTTTTTTTTAATTAACCGTATTTGTAAATAGATGAATAGGTTGTTTGAAGCACAACTGAAACTAACTTCATTTACACGGAAGGCTCACCGATGAGGAGGCTTTCGGTGAACAACCAGAATTCCTGTACTTTCCCTTGAAGACTGCGACTCTAAAATGGGCTGCTTTTCTCCAGACCAGGAGAAAAAAACCCAAATTATCATGACATTGCAGGACTGTGCCTTCTCAAAGCACACGTTCCCTGCCCACGGTGCCAGAGCTTTTGTACGTGAAGCTTTTGTCCCCATTTGGAATCCCTCTCTGTAACTTCAATACCAATCAAACAAGTGTAAAAAGGGGAGGGTTTTTTTTTTTCACTATTTAAATTGTCCTTGTTTCAAAAAAGCAGAGAATGCTAAACTGCAATTTCTGCTTGGCCTCCCATGACAGCTTGTCTCCATGTATGATCCTGGCACTCGGCGTAAGGTGTCCTAGCTCTGGTGCTGAAGGCCTAAAGCAAAACTCTCCAATTTGCATGTAATGCTTGTGGGAAGTGACAGAAACAATTATCAGAAACTGAGGAGCTTTCAGCCAGGAAAGGCACCGGGACAGACCTCCCTGGTGTGAGTGCAATGTCTGCTGCCTTCTCCACAGTTGTGTTCTGATGCATGCAGCAAAGTATCTGAAAAGAGGCAGTTGCAGCACACTTAACCATTAACCTGTAGTAGCTCCTTCTATCAGTGACAAAAAGATTTATGGAGGGTTTTTTTATAGTCTATACCGTTATTCCTACTGTTCTAAAGGAAATTGCATCCACTCAGGAATAGCTCTTGCCTCCAAGGAATACTAAAAGAATATCAGTAGGTGACTGCTCCAGAAGCCACTTTCAGAGCAGACACCTCCCACGTACTCGCTCCATGTCAGAAATGTTTTGTGGAGTTAACAGGGCTGAAAATTTCAGAAATAAATTACAGTTAGTCATATGTTACCTTTAGGGTCTTCTAATTACCTCATTAAATCCCTATTTGATTTGGTCCTTGTTGCCATGGGAGGGGTAGGATCTGGCAAATACTCTTACCTTTGCAAAGTACTCTGGGCTCAAGTACTTTGCTGATTCACCAGAGCAATTTTAGACTTGACACAGTCATTTCATATGATTTCGCCCACCCACAGGGCACTAATGAAACCTCTTCTCAGGCTGAGAATAGTTCTGAAATAATTTTATGGATAACGCCACGAGACAGTAACGATGCCTTCTGCAAATATATACAGGTACTTAGGTTACAATTTGTTGCAACCAGTCTGCTACAGTTTTTAATAAAAAACATGACGTGCAATTTTGCTGTGCAACATTTTTTTTTTTTCCCCTCCTCCTTCTGTGAAAACTACCTAGAAAAGGTTGGGGAACTTCAAGAAAATTTTCTTTGGTTAAAACATCTGAAAGTATTTATGGGAAGCACAATTATTTAACCAATGCTAATCATCACTGAAGACCTCATTCTAATCATCACTGAAGGACTCCTCAGTGGAGAAAAGGAAGATATTTGCTGGCAGCTTGGGGATTTTGGTTTTCCTGAAGAGGTACTTTCAAACTTATTAGAAACTATTAAAGCCCCCAAATTACTTTCTTAATCGAACAGAAGAGAAAGTAACTACCATGGATGTATAACACATTCTAAAACTGCAAAACATTTTAAATAGCAACTCTAGATTCTATACCATAATACAAATCCATTCAAGGACAGAAAAAGAAAAACAAACAAAAGAGCTATTGTATTTAATTAAATGCATTAACAAAACACCAGAGCATCTGCATACTAATATTTTTTACAACAGTTGTTCTTTGTGTCACTGAATACGGGTATTGGTAAGCAACAAAGAAGGGTATTTGTCCCACAAAAGTAGCTTCTCCCAACACATACGCAGTGAGCTATAAAGCACACAGAAAGATTTATACTTATTTTAGTGCTTCAGAAAGCACACATTTAAGTTTTCCTCTAGATTTTCTGCATGCTTAAGTCTTTTCTAATATTTAAAAATACATAGCAGAGAGATATTGTTAATATTGGAGCTAACTAATCAAAGTCTTCAAGTGCATTTGGAGAGACAGATCACTTTAATAATGTCTTAAGGATATCCAGAATTAATGGAGCATGTAAACATATGCTTATTTGTTCATTTAGAAGCAAATATTTAGACTTTATTAAAATCCATTATAAGTGCTGTGCATCTGATTCTGATAAATTTTTTTTTTTTTTTTGCTTCTCTCTACAAGATGAAGCTCTCTTGTTAAAACGGAGTACCCTTCCTATACCGTATCACTTGTACAAGAGAAAGCTGCCCAGAGAAGAAGAGGTCTTCAGGCATTTGTTTGTTGTTTTTTTTTTTTTTTTTTCAAAAACCCATGTAAATTGGGTCAAAGAGTAAGGACAGCAGAATACATTGCCCTAAGCATTACCAGGAGGCTATTAAAGTGTCACCTAATTACATTTAAGTGAATAAAGTCATTGAAAGCTCTGAAAGTGAGATCATAAAAAAAAGCCCATCCTTGCTCTTGCCCAAAAGCAGCAGGTGGAAGCCAGGCGCTGAGCTGGGATTTGGCCGAGGACCCCTCCAAAGGCAATGCCACCTTTCCATTTCTCCTTGCAGCTCTTGAGCCTGCCCCTGGCACAATTTTCCCTGTGCACGTTGGTCAGAGTGAACAAAGCCATTTGTTCCCTGTATACACAGTGCCTCCCAAAAGGAATGAATATAGATGGACCAAAAATTCTGAACAGTCTGTTCATGAAACAAAACAGGAATTCCAAATGTGCTTTCAGTGAAACAATATTAAGTCCAACCCCCTATTGCCTTTAGTTGGGCCACATACAGGTATTTTCCAAATGACTGTGCCTTAATGCTCAATTTGACCTTAATAGTTTATTCCATTTCTTGAGCAACTAACACTTTTACATAAGCCTCTAATTAGCTGGGACCCTCAGCCCCGTGGTTCAAACAACAGCTGCTGTCGAGACCATGGAAACGTGTTTTACACAAAGTACAATCTCTGATGGAGAGCCCTTGGATACAGATATTCTTCTCATGGGTCATTTGGTAGAGCTTGACCTTAATAGTTTATTCCATTTCTTGAGCAACCAACACTTTTACATAAGCCTCTAAGCTTTATGGTAGTCCCTCCTTGTATATATACAAATCTGTAGTCGTCTTCTATACAGAAGACAACCTAGAAAGAGGTTGTTAAGCTAAGAGTGTTAATGTATTAAGGTTAAAAAAAAAAAAAAAAAAAAAAAAAAAAAAGGATTACAAGGTTTTCATCTCCTCCCACCCCTTTCCAGTCTTGCTTTCTTGCAGATACTTGTAATTCCTCTCTCACATTCTTATTGCTGCTCTCTCTACAAATGCTCTAAAATAAATGAGGAAAATGAAGCTGATAAAAGCTGAAGCATATTCCCCTGCTTTGGCCTCTCGAGAGAGGCTTATTACAACAGTCACAGCATATTGCAAATATTGATTTTAATAATACATGACAGCAGCTTAAATATTTGTACGAAATCTTAAGAATTAAGTATTCTTTACTCATTACAAACACCAGGAAGTACATTAATCAAATTTATAACACGGACTATTTAATAATATGTTTTATAGTAACTACAGATTGCTGTGACTGATTACTAATTTCCTTTTCCTTGGCCTTCTTTTCTCAGGGTATGAAGATGAAAAGTGATCTCACTTACCTTTAGGGACCTTTTGAATCAGTTTTTCATGTTAGCTGAAGTGATGTATTTTTATAAAGCAGTGCTCTTCAGTATATGAAATATAATGTGGTTTTGCCCTTTTCTACTTTTTTGGTCCTATTTCTTCTACAAGACATCAATTGGATAGTTAAATATAATGCACTGAAGTTCTCAATCCTGAGTCAACTATATGTCAGTAGGTTTATTCAAATGCTGATACTAAAACATTAAGTAAAACCTCTGGAATTTTGCACTGACTTACCTGGTTTTAGGCACTTGACCAACAAAAGGTTACACTGAAAAATCACTCAGCTTTGTAACACCTAAGATTTCAAGATCTTCAGTAAGCTGTAGTAGCAAGGCATGTGCGCGATGTATTTGTAATAGTTTGCCTTGCATTATTTAAGAGGCTGAAAACCACTTTTCTGGAACACGTGGCTTTCAGTAACATTTGTGGTAACATCAGGACATTTGGAAGAACAAAAAGGACAGAAAAAGCACATCCATCATCACCCCGTATGAGCCGCAGTTGGGGATGTCTGGTTACCAACTCTGCGTTAAGATAACTGTTTCCCAATGTTTTGCCTTTCCTTTTTATGCAGTTGAATTCTCTAGAAAAAGGACCTTACGGAATTCTTTTGCAGGAAGTATAGCACAAGGCACCACTGGGAGCCCTAATTCAACTCTGGCTTTGGATACCGTCATGAAGGCACACACTCTATTTTTCCTGCACTATCATCGCAGACCTCACTTCTAAGGTTCTTGAGCAGATGGGACAATGTAGCTTTGGGTGTGCGTATAGATGAAGAGTCTGGACATGCAGCGGTAATCACACACTGTGACCTACTACAAAAGCCAGGATCAAATAAAAATCATGCTAGTTTAACACTTAATTTCCTTGGAAAAAGGATCCAACTACTTGGTGCTCAGCTGTACCAAGTATTAAAGGCAAGGGTAGCAAAAACTGTTCATGCTGCAGACTGATACAGGTCACCTGTCAGAAACATCAAGGCCAGTCCTGGCTTCCAGCCAGAGCTCTACCACTGGAGATGGCATCA